TGTGGGCACGCAGGGCTTCATCCAGCCGCAGCATCTGCCCCCAGCCACCAAACGCGGTTGTTGGAGCAGCTCTGCCCTCCCTGCGCAGCCACGAATTAGCGGGGAGGAATTAAATGTCTCTTCCCAGGCTTGACAGCGCCGCGCATCCCTCGGGGGGATGCAGGGCTCTGTTTGCATCTGTAAACGCTGCTGGATGTCAAACAGCCGCTGTCCCTCCAGTCCCCCCGGGGCTGTCTGATGCTGAACGTGCCAGCCGGAGTGTCCTGCCCCGCTGGTGGCCCCGGGCCAGGCGCTGCTCCTGGGCAGCCCAGTGAAACCAGTGCCTGCAAACTGGTCTGGAGCAGGCACTGAGCGCAGGGCGGCCGCAGGAGCCGCTCACCTGCAACTCACAGCCTGGAAGCTGGCTGTAGGAGGGAAGTTGAATAACGAATAAATTCGAGATAATTGATTGGCCTGTGGCCAGTTCACAGCCGGGGAGAGCTGAAATGGGTTGGATTGTTGGCTTTTTCCTTAAGTTAGTCTCACTCAAAAATGTGAGCGCTAAGAGGTTACATTTAGTTTGGAATATATTTAATTCATTAAAATGTTGATCTCTGCTGCAGAGTTCAGATCTGATTCCAGGCTTTATTCCTTATCTAAATGCAAAGGTTTCTTGCCAGAAATACAAAGCAGAAAAGAAATCTTGGTGCTTAGGAAAAGTGACATGATGGAAGGAGCCGGGGCTGGACCGCGCCGCACTGCGGGGAACCTGCTGGGACTTGAGCTGACACCCTCACCTGGCCAGTCCTGCTTTCCTCCTTCCCACACTGGGGTGCAGCTTTTGGGGTCCCATCCCACAATGCCCCCATGTCTCGGGAGCTGCAGGTGTCACCCCGAGCTCCCTGCAGCCAGTCCCTCCTCAGGGCTCGGGAATGCTGCGGGATTTGGTGCAGTGCCCTGCAAAATTCCCTCTGGAGCTGTCGCCTCCTCACGGGGCCGAGGCCAAAGTGACTCAGGGAAGTTTCGGATAGAGCAGTGTCAGGCCAGGGATTTCTGTTCAAGGGTGTCCTCAGCCCCCACATCCCTGCTGCCCTCCCAGGTACCTGAGAGCTGGCACTGGGAGCGGGCTCAGCCCCCGCTACGTTCGCAGCTCGTTTGTCCCCAGCCTTGCTGTGCAGAAATGTCCCTCCCCAGCCCGGTGTCACCGCACCTTCCTCGCGGAGCCTTTGTGATCTGCAGGGGATGACAAAGGGAAGGAACAGCACTTAAAACCCACTAAAACCCACACACCATCACCGGCTTTTGTACCGGTTGCTATGGGAACTCCATACGTGCACCGGAAACGCTGGAGTATGCAAATGAGCTTCTTAATTAGTTCTCCTCAGCCTTTCATGCTCGTGGTGCAGCAATTTGATCATTAGATGAACATGCCACTTCATTATCGGCAGCTTAACCAAACACGAGCCGAGGTGACCTTTGGGGAGGGCCGGGTGCCTTGGGAGCCGGCTGAGGAGAGGGATGGCGAGACCCAGAGGCTGCAGGGATCTGGGAACCTTCTCCAACAGCTTCCAGGCCGCTGGGAGCTGCTGGTGTGGGTCCTGCTGCCTCTGGAGAGGAGCAGGGAGGCGGGGGCTGTGTCTCCATACAGGGATCTGGGATGAGCTGCTCGGCTCCAGCTGCAGGACTGAGCTCCTGGAGAGGAGGCACAGCTGGAAGAGCCAAGCCCTGAGTCCCCCCCCGAGCCTCGCGGGGCCGGTGTCGGTGTCACCCTGCTCTGCTGGCCTTGGGGACAGGCGCTGGACGTGCCCATGCGGAGCCAGATGCCAGCCGGCTGCACGCGTGAGCTGAGCTCGCGCTGTAAATGCTATGAGTTTTTCACCAAACAAGCTTCATTAATCGTCTAATAACCGGATTAATTAAGGACACTGAAAGTAAACAGCAAGAATGTAATTTGCCTCTGATTGCCATGTAATTGCGGGAGTATGGTCCTATTTGCATATGCAGAAAGTGTTGTTGACAGTGGTGCTGGGACAGAGGAAACAACGGATGGAGGGCAAACGTGCCCTTGGGGTGGCCAGATCCCCTCAGCCTTGCTCTTCCCTGCCTTTGGTGCTGCCTGCATGTGTTTTGCTCTGTGGTTCTCTGCCTTCTTCCCAATTAACCAGCCCTCCTGCTATTTGTGGAGCTTTCCGAGCTATTTGCTTAGGCAAACATTGATACTCCAAATAGACTGACAGATCCGCTTGGGAACACTCCCGTGTCCTGGGAAACAGCAGAAATAGCTGGGGAGGAGCCCCTCTCTCTGTCCTGGTTGGGCTTAGGACCAGTTCTCCCTTTGACCCTGAGGAGACTCGGGGATTTGGGTTGTGCTTGCCCTTGGCAAACCCCAGAGAGCTGCCAGTGCCCCGAGAGGAGCCGGGGAGCGGGAGGTGAATCAGGACATGCAGAGAGGGAAGCAGAGGCTGGGTGGATTTGGGGCAGAGCCAGAGCCTGAATTCCAGCACGGAATCCCACACCGTCCCGCATCTCTCATTGTCCTCCACCCCTTGTTGGCTGGTTTATTTCCCAGGAAATGTGGATCTCTGGATGGTGACTAATCTTCTGACTCTCTGCCTCCTGTTAGCCCAGGGTGAGTTTTCTTCTTGCTGCTGACCTTGTCAGCACCAGCTGTACTCAAGGAGGCAGCACACGGCGCTCTGCCAAGGTGACAGCGCGCTCCCTCCACGCACACGTGCCTGTGCCCACAGGGGAGAATTCAGAGGACTAATTCCATCTTGGAGAGCACCAGGCCTGAGCTTTTCTCTTTCCCTGACAGCCAAGCCTTGGATTAAACCCACAATAAAGAGAGATGTGACCTTTCAGGAGCAACTCGGGTGTCTGTGGCAGGCAGGATTTTGAAGTGGATCCGCTTGCTTTCCTGGTGGTAGTGACGAGCTCTTCCCCCCTGTTCTCCACATGCAGATGGACTTGGATTAAACCATTGTGCTCTGTTGGCTCCAGACAGGCACCTGCTGCTCACTTGTGTGTTTTCCTGCTGGATAACAACAAGGCAGGATAACAAACGGTGAGGATGAGCCTCAGAGCAATTGTTTTGGAGCAGAGCTGGCAGGCAGGATGGACGGGGGCCTGTTTGCCAGCAGAATGTTGCTGACAAATCTCTGTGAAGAAAAACGGGGGCTTGGGACCCCCCTGCCTGTCTGTGGGCATCCTTCCCATCGGCTTTTTTTGTTTCCTTGTGGTGCCTGAACGTTTTGGGCCGGTTTCCCACGGCTTGAAGTGTACCTGTCCCCGCCTGCTGCCAACCTCCATTCATCACAGGCAGCGTTTTCTTTTCCTCTTCTGGAAACTTGAAACGTTTAGAAGGGAAATCAAGTTTTCCCTTGAAAATCCGGGGGGGAGAGGGGTGGAAGGCAGGTAGCCTCCTGTTTATTTTGCACTGCCTTTCTGTAAGCTGCTATAAACAATCTGTCAGCATTCCTGCAGTGAGGCTGCTGAACGGGCTCCCCCGGTGCTGGGCTTGGTTCCTTGCCATGCAAGGTCTCGTTAGAGGTGCTGTTTGCTGCTGCTTAGCCATGGACTCCCTTTGAGCTTGAAGAGCAAGACAGGGAAACAGCAACCATTATGATTAGGGTTTTATTTGGAACTCCTAAACGCTCCGTTTCCCGCGGTGAACAACATCCTCGAGCGGCAGGAGGCTGCGCCCCACCGCTGCTTCACGGTGAATTTTTTCCGAGATAAACAAGGGAAGCAATCAGCCCCTCTGGAATGCCGAGGGGTGTAGGTGGTGCTGCCTGCTGTGCCTTTGAGACCTCTCCCGTTGTGGCTTCAGGAGCCGAGGCCAACGCGAGGGTTGAAGCTGTGCCTGAGTGTCTCCAGAGCTTCCCTGGAAGAACCTGGCCTTGCTCCTGGAGAGAAATTCTTGTTCCTGTCTTGGGTGAGCCAGTGCATCCCAGTTTTGAGCTTCAGCCTTTGCTCCCTGTGCATCTTGGCTCCTGAACACCAAGTGTCTGGTGGGCCTTGAACTTTCTGACCCTCAGCTGCTCTTTGAGGCTCTTCCCTGCCGTGTTCCTCCTCCCCTTGTGCTCCGGAGTAGGTGTGAGGGAGCTGCAGGAACTTGGCCCTGGTGAGCCCCAGGAATGGTTGTGCAGCCACATCGCTGTGGCCTGGTTAGAGCAGCCTCTGGCTTTAAGGATACCGAGATTCTGATTCCATTCCCACATGTCCTTGACATGAACAATTAATTTTTCCCTATCTCACCCTGAAATCCCTCTCCTCCCAAGCAGGTTCTGCATTCCAGTGCTGTTTTTCAAGGCTGATGGGGAAGCTGCCTCTGCTCTGATTGTCAGTGCTGCTGTTTTTCTGTTATTTTTCAGATGCCTTGTGTTTTGGGGGGGGGGGGAAGTCCCAAACCCTGCTTTGTGATTTTTCTCTTCTCTTCTCTGTAATTAGATGGAGCAGTGATCAAAATATGTTGCATTGCACTGCAAGCTTCTCCAGGCAGATGTTTCATCACCGGAGGAGAGATGACTTCCTCATTTACATTTGGGGAAAATTAAAGGAGAGGAAGAAAGAAGGCGAAGGAGAATGTTGGATTTCCTGTTGTGTGAATATATCTTGCAAGGCTTCAGGAGAGTGACGTGTGAGAGAAGAGCCAGGGCCAGGAGGGAGAGAGACCAGACTTTTTTTACCCTGCTGACATTCAGATCTCGAGTCGTGCACCCCTTGGTGTTTATTTTGCTGCAAACCCCAGGGATGCTGGCTGGGGCTCATCCTGCTGCTTCCTTGGAGAAGGGTTTTGAGCCCAAGGCTGTCTGTTATCCCCACATTTGGACTTTCTGGGGAGAGCTCCTCAGCTGCTGCCTCCCCTCTCCAGCTCTTTCAAAGGAACTTTCAGAGCTGCTTTGGGGTGGGAGGGATGGTGTGGTGTGGTACAGGGGTGACACCAAATCTACCTTCTGTCCTTATCTGGAGCTCTTCAGTGCACAGGGCTTTGTGCTGGTGGTCAGAATGGATTAATTCCCCAAATATGACCGGTGGGGGAGGGTGAAGCAGAGGAGAAGATGGGAAAATGCTCATTTGGGGGGATTCTGGTACCAAACACCACCAGCTCTGGGGCAGAGGCTCAGACCTGGCTAGGGAGAGGCTGAGGGAGCAGGGAAAGCCTCCCCCACACTGGGAACATGGAACACAATTCCTCACACTCAGCTCAATAAGAGAGCCATCAAAAGTAAAAATGACAGCAATTCTGCAGTCAATATAATGTGGCTGCGGGTTAAATAAATAATGTTTGAATGATAATAATTGCAAAATGATACTATTTCATCCACCACAAACATGTGGTTAAGCTCTCATTAGCTGAGGCTGGAGCTTTGCTGGAAGCAGAGGCTCTTTGAAAGCAGATCTTTGGATTATGCTGCTATAGAAATTCCTGGACTGCTCCTGCAAGTGTTTAATAAGGCCTGTGAGTTCGTCCATGGGATTGAGAGGAGAATTGGGAAAGGTGGCACCCCAAAGTGAAGCTGGATTTTTATTTATTTATTGGAGAGTTCTCAGGGGGGCTGCAAACAACAGGTTTTTAATTAACAGGCTCTATTATAATCCTTGAGCTCTGTGGGGGAAAATGTTTTTATTTTTATGTGGATTTTTTAGAACATATAGAGGGTTTTATTTATAAATACGTGTGTACAGGCAAGTCCTCCCACATCTGGCAGAGTTTTGCCTGAACATCAAATTCAGTTAAAAGCTGCTCTGTCCTGTCCCACCTCCTTCCTCCATCTCCATCCTGGGGCAGTGCTGTGAATGCCCCCCAGAGATACAACCCCAAACTGGGGAAACTGGTGTGCTCAGCACCTCGCCAGACAGGGCTGATTTCAGACTTGGCTGCGATATTGATCCTCACTTAACATAGTAATGAGAATCCGCTTCCCTAATCAGCGAGGGAAAAATCTTATTTTCCAGCGGCTGCAAGGAAATGAGCTTTGCTGGATTGTGGTGGCTGTGGGGTGGCACGGGGAGGAGGTGACACTGTCTGGGCTTCTCTCTTTGCTCCCCTTGTGCACCCCAGCATTTGGGGACAGCCTCCACCCTGCTCGCCCCCGTGCCCTGCTTGGGTTTTTGGGATGAACTCGGCCAAAATTGCTCCTTGAACCCCCTGCTCCTTTCCAGCCATCGATCCCGCGAGCAGCCGTGTCCATGCCAGCCCCTCAAAGCCCAGCCTTGTGCCTCACCTTCCTCATCCAGTGCGTTTTTGAGGAGGAAAAGCCGTATTTTCCTGTGGCTCCCGTCTCGGATCTCCCGACCCGCGGGCGCTGCTCCTCTCCGGCCCTTCTGCCTGACGGCAAATTGTTTTTTGATGGCTGACTCGGTATAACCGAACTCAATTTGCCTTTCAAAAGCAGCTAATAGTCGCATTAAAAAATCCATTTTCACTTGTGATTGAATTTGACGGCGGCTCAATCAATAAGCGAATGGAGTGTTTCACACGCGGTACCCAGCGCCCGTCGCCATGGCAACGCTGGAAGCGGCGCTGGTGAATCCCCTCCGATCGCTGTCACCCGGAGCTGTCACCTCCAACAGGCTCCCTGCTGCCGAGGGACACCCTCTCGGCCCTCCTGCAAGTGATGCCGGAGGAATTTTCTTCCTTCTCCTCCTCCTTCTCCCCGGCTCCAGCATGACACAGGCGGCCCTTTGGTGGAGCTGGGAATGGTGGCCCTGGAAAGCCCCTTCCTTTCCTTCCCAAATCTCCCAGTCCGGGGAGAAAGGTGGGGAAGAAGAAGCCTGAGTAGGTCTGAGGTTGTGGGCGAGGGCAGCAGGGCTGGGAAGAGCTGCAATGAGCTGTCCTGAGAAGCTGGTTTTGTTGTTGTTTTGGTATTTTTGTTTTGGGGTGGGGGGTAAGATAATGAAGTGAGGAAATGGATATATTTATATTTTATTTTATTTTTTTTAATGGGGTTCACCCACATTTGATAAAAAACGTGCGTGGTGCCACTTTGCCTCCCCACAATCAGCCTGCTTCCTCTCAGCCATTGTTTGATCTCTTCCTATTGTGGTGCAAAATGGAAACGAAACGGCTCAGGCAGGAACTTTGCAATTGAGATATGGTTGGGCTTTTTTTTTTTCCTAATTATTTTTTCTTTTCCTTTAAATTATTTCTTTCCAAAGCAGCTTTCTGAGCTTTTTTTTAATTGGAAACCTTCCCTCTGCATGCTCTGCTGTCGAGGCAGGGGAGCTCACCTGCAGATTGAGGCTGTGGTGGTGATGCCAGTGTGGGGCACTGCCCACCAGCCCTCCCCTCCTGGCTCCCTCATCCTGAGGGGGCTCAAAATAAAAGAAAAGAGCTTCTTTACACCACCTTGGTGTTTTCTCTGCAGGGAGCTTGCCTGGGGCTCCAGGATGCCATTGGTTTCCTTAAACTGCATCTCTAAGCATATTCCAACAATGTGCCCCATCTTGGCGCTCATTTCCGTGGATTGATCCATGCTAGAAGAAGAAGGGAGAAGTCTGTGCTGAGTTTGAGCTAAAAGAGGGAAACCAGGCACCCTGGGCTCAAGGTGAGCTGGTGACTGGAGCTCACCCCCACTGAGCACTGGATGTGACTGAATTTTGCCACCTGCCTGGGTTAAATCTGAGTCCTTTGGCCACCTTGGGTTAAATCCTTTCCCTGCCCAGCTCACCTTCCCAGCCCCTGTGTGAGACCCAGGCGTTTGCCCTGGGCCAGGGAGGGCTCTTGGCCATGGCCTTGCATTTCTCACCTTCCTCTCCCTTGGGGTGTGAGCTTGGTCCTGGGGGGACCTCAGGGCTGTGGGTCAGGAAGCGTGGGTCAGCTGAGGCAGGAGAAGCTGTGCATTCCCAGCCTTTTTGCCAGAGGCTCCTTGAGGAGGAGCAGGGCCATTTCCATTAATCTCACAGGCTGTTTCCACCATGGCTCTGCTGGCAGAGCTGAGAAGTGAGGAGCTCCGGTGGTTGAGGAGGATTCTCCCTGCCCGCATCCCCAAACCCTGCACCAGCACTGCCCGAGCCACCTGCAGAGCTCTGGGGACAGCCTCAGGGGCTGGGCTTTGTCTCCTGACAGGCTCAGGGTTCCCCTAAACTGCAGTTTCGGTGTCACCAGGAGCTGACATCCGTGTTTTGTGTACTGGAATGGTTTGGGAGTGGGGAGGGAGCTGCAGCCTCTTCCACCCGAGTGAGCGCGGCAGGTGAGGGGTCTGCTCCTGCTCCTGCCACCTCTGCTCTGCTGCCAAACTGCTGTGCACCTTTCTTTGGCATCTCCAGGGTTAAGAAGAGTCTTCCCTTGTTCCCACACTTCCCTGAAAGCTGAGGATGTAACTTCACCCCCCCTCCTGCTCCCCAAATCCTTCCGTTCCTCTGGAATGCCGGCACGCTGTGCCAGGGGGTGCTGGCTGCTCCCGGGGTGCTGGGGCAGAGGCTGCTGACCCCACTCAGGCTGCTGATGGATATCTGCTTTTTCTCCTGAAAATAAGAACCTTCTCCTGGTGGAAAGCTGCCAGAACAGAGCCTGAGTGGCCTGGTGAGATATCTGTGGGCTCCTGCCCTGCCCGCACAGACCCCTCAGGGAGATAAAAACCCCCTGACAAAGCGAGGCCTGTGTTTATCTCAGCCCTCTGCTCTCAAAGGTGCGCGGGCCCTGCTCGAGAGCTGGTGCTGAGATGGGTTCCTGGTGTTCCTTTTTCCCACATACAAAAGCTGCCGAGGTGTAATAAGCCGGGGGAAGGCGATAAGCTGCTCGGTCAGCTCCGCGTGCCGTGGCAGCACGTGTGCTGTCAGCAGCCTTCAGGAGCCGCAGCTCAGGGAGAGCTCACTGGGGAATTAATCCTCGGCTGCTGCAGCTCCAGTGGGGACCATCTGAATCTCCATCATGGTTTTTCAGGGCTACCTAAAAACAGAGGCCAGACAAAATTAAGGGAAGCAGTTCTATTTATTGAAGTGCCTCCAGGTACGTTTTGGGCAGATGAAGCCCCCCAGGGCCTACACCCAAAAAATGGACAATGGGTCATGGGTTTTCATGCTTTTGTAAGTTTGGTCCATTTGAATATTGGGGGTTAATCTTCCAATTCCAGCTTCAGATAATGAAGGAATTTACCCCAAGTTTGCTCCCCACAACTCACTTTTGTTTCCATCTCTCGGGGCCCGAGTGAGGTGTCCTTGATTCCCAGGCCTGGAGAGGAATTGTTTTGTCAAAATGAGGAAGCAGCAGCTAAAATTGTATATGGAGTTTAGAGTTATACACTAAAGAATTGCAGGATATAAATATATGAAAAATAGAAAAGCTAAAGCTAATGCATCAACAGCTGGGCCCCACCTGCCTGGCTGGGGACCCCCAGTGACAGCCACTAAATCTGGGGTTGGTCTTTATCCCAGGGATTGAGGAATAGAGGAGGAATGATCCCTTAGAGGAAATGAGGTACAGGGATTAAATGATTTGCTGGAGTCGTGCAGAGATCTCCCAACGCTTGGGTGGCGAGCTCGGGGCAGTGGTGGAATCTGGGGTTGAGGTTTACAGCTTGTGATGAGGCTTAATAAGCTCGGCTGGAAGAGCTCAGAGGAAGGAAATGGCATCAGAGAGGGTGCGAGTGTGGAGCTCTGAGCTAAATCCAGTCAGACTGAGCTGTGCCACGTTCTGGGCCATGCCATGCCAGGCCAGAGGCTCCTGAAGCTGAGAACTGGCCCAGGTCTGCTGAATCCACTTAAAGAGACTTTGCTCCTGGGCCTGAGTGTTCCCAGTGCTGCTGTCGAGCTCTGCAGAGGAGCTGTGTGACAAGGGATAAATCTTTCCTGATGCCAGCTGGCATCTCTCCATCAAAGTCAGCCAGGATAAAGGATGTTCTTCCCAAAGCAGAGGCTCCAGCAGCCGTGGCTGGGGCTCCCTGGGATACCTGTCTCCCACCTCTGGCATCCATCCTGCAGCCAATTGATTTGTGTGTGCTTACATGATCAAAGTGAGCCTCAGGACCTGATGTGGGAAATGATTTCCTGTCTTACACAGCTCTGGGATAACTTCCAGATCATTCCCCTTTGCAGTTGCTTGGAGAGAAGTTAACTCATGGGTCTGGCAATAATGCAGCAATAAATTAAATAAATTAACGTGGGAGGAGTGGGAAAGGTTGGGCAGTGTTGGCATAGGGATTAATTAGCGGTCAGCTGTTGCTGTGTGTGACAGAGCTGTCCCCTCGCTGTGTGAATGCTGATGCAGGGAAGGCCTGGGACAAGGTGCCAGTGGAACAGGAAAGCATCAACCCCAGTAGGTGTTTTGCTTCTGTCTCCCTCGCTACTACCCTCTGCCTGGGGCTTATCTATGTGACAAAGGGCTCCTTGTCCATTAATAGAGCTTCCAGGAGAAATGAGGCCCTGGTGATTGCATTCCGTCCATCTCCCCTGCCCTTTCCACCCCAGTAATCTCCTAATACATTAGCCAATTTGAGCCACATTTGAGGAAAGAATCTTGGGAATGTGCAAATGGTAACTTAGCTCAGTCTTTCTGTTGACAGCAGAGAAAGTGGAGTTGATCTCCGAGGTCACTGGGCCAGGAGCAGTTTTCCTGCTTTAGAGCTGTTCCACAGCCAGGGATAAGGAGTGCAAGTTGTCTGCTGATATCCGTGGCCATATCTCAAAGCAATTGATAGCAAAAGGCTATGAAATAAGATAATCTAGAAATTAAGAGTATTTTTCCATCCCCCTGCTTTTTTTTTCCTTAGAGAGCTCTCTCCTGACAATCCCTGCCACAATCCTTCCAGCCGAAATCTGCTGACGACTCCTGACCAGGCAGCCTTTTGCCCCCGTGTTTGTAAGATGAATGCCTGGCTTCAGAGCCCTTTTCCCTGGAGTTGCAGCCTGTCCTTTTGCCAGCAGAGCCCTCCCAAAAACACAGAGAAAAGCATATTTTTGGCAATTCCTTCAGGACACCCTTGCTGAGGAGGAAGAGCTGCTCCTAAGAGTGTCTTATTCCTCCCTGGAACGCGTCAGCTTTCAGCAAGTGGGTTGGAGATGACGTCTGGATGCTGAGGAGCAGTGAGCACACATGGAGACTGCTCCTTCCCTTGTGCCCAGCTCTCAGGGATGTGCCAGGCTCTGGCAGGGCTCTGAGCCTGGTGACTCGAGGCTTTGGCACCTGCCTCCTGCTCCAAGCCTGGCTGCAGGGCCGTGCCCGGCTGGCAGAGAGGACACTTGGAGAGGAGACCTTGCAGAGGAGGAAGGGAGACATCTCTTGTGAGGGGTGCTCAGCCAGCCCTGCCGGACCTGCAGGCTCTCCTACAGCTGAGCCAGAAGAGCTCTTGGACTTTCTGACCTTTTTTTTTGGCCTGTTGTGGCTGCTGTCAGTGGGGTTGGTGAGATAAGAAATGTTTTCCTGGGACAGGGCAAAGCCTGGTGCTGACTGAGATTTCTGGGCAGCCAGTAGATCCTGCTGCCCATCAACCCCATTACCCAAACCCCAATAAACTTGGGCACTCAGCTTCCTGCAGCCTCCCCAGACAGGAGACC